GAAACAAAAGGAGGAAAAGCACCTGTTTCTGAGACACTTGCCCCTTGCATTTATTCCAATTGGGTCTCATGACCTCCTGCGTTCTGCAGCCTGGAGTTCTGCAATGATAGCAGATCTTTGTGCTTTCTGCTGGCTAGAATTCCAACTCCTTTGGGGAACAAGGAAAGTAAGTGGTCTTCTACTACTAGAAGAAGTATTTCCAAACTGATCAAGGTCTGACTGAACTCTGGAAAATGTAGAAAAAGAAGCTGTATCCATATGCATTCGTAACACAGAGTCTAGAAGACAACATAAGGAAGAAAATTTAACTGCACAAGGGACAGCATCTAGAATATCTCCAGTTTTAATCCCTGGAAGTTACACAACAAGCAGATGAAGGCTGTGCTACAACAAAACAATTTAGCTGGAGAATAAATGTATAGAGTCATGCAGATTGACAACACCTTGACCTTTTGCTTTCCCACATATTAGGCACTGGATGAAGCAGTAATGCCACCGAAGTCAAAGGCAAAATTTATGCAATTTCCATGAGAACAGGATTTAAACCAAGAGTTTTTGAAATGGGAGAGCATGAGTAAAGACAGTCTATTTCCTTCACAGAGAGAAATCTGTCTTTCCTGACTCCAAAGTGTGACCACTCTGCCAGGAATGGAAACTGTGTAACTCTGGAAGTCTTCCAGATTGACATTAAAATTCAAGACATCAATATTTCTTCTCTGAGTGAATATAATAATGATATACTCTGAATATGCTGAAAACAAAGTCAGTTAACAAAACCCAAAACTTATTCCAGGAATACTTATTTTCAAGATCTCCCAGAGGTATGTAGACTTTTTATCATGAAAAGTAATTTCCACTAGGCCAGAGGGACTATGAATTTTCATGGAAAGCTTTGTCTTTCTCAACTATGCAAATGAAATTCAGATAACCCATACAGAACCCCAAAATGCTGTAAGCATAATTAGGAATAAAAGAGGCCTAACTGCCTGACGGTGATGATTACTATGTCCTTCAGGTAAGTGTGCACAAGGCAATCTAAAATTATTCAGCTCTTGGGAGTGCGTGCTCATCAGAGGTTCTGCTAAGCAGAACTATTGCCAGTCCTTTAAAATAACCTCTAAAACATTCTTAGGAGACACAGGATAAGTTATCAAGTTATTTTACTTTATGAGTAATGAAACTTGAAAACATGTAATTAAAAATGTGTTGAGATTTACTTCATAATGTTTATTTGCCTCTAATGCTTTTAGAGAATGACCCATCCACATTTTTCAGAAGTTGTCTCTTCATTTTCTTTCCATTTCCCTGTCTTTCAAAGCTCTAGCCTGATTCTCTTTTTGCTTTTCCCACGGAAATAAAGACTACCTCCAATGATCTTAAGAGGAGCATGTTAGTTTTATTTTTGTTGTAAACACCTGCCAGTTTGACTTTGTAAGTCCATAGAATATATCCTGAGTTGGAAGGGACCCACAAGGACCACTGAAGTCCAGCTCCTGGTCATGCACAGCACCATCCCCAAGAGTCACACCATGTGCCCGACAGCACTGTCCAAACACTTCTTGAACTCTGCTGGGCTCGTGCTGTGATCACTGCCCTGGGGAGCCTGTTCCAGAACCCAACCACTCTCTAGGGGAGGAACCTTTGTGTAATATCCAACCTAAACCTCCCCTGACGAAATTTCCCACCTTGGGTCCTGTTGCTTACCACCGGAGAGGAGATTGGTATCTGCCCCTCATCTTTTCTCTTGTGAGGAAGCTGCAGACAGCTATGAGGTCTTACCTCAGTCTCCTTTTCTCCAGGGCAGTTGGCCTGCCTACATTCTATGTAATCATATTTTTATCTAAGCCTGAAAGTCACTGCCACTAAACACATTTGTTTACTGGAGTTAATCTCATTCATAACACATTCTTAAGGATCTTAACAGTTGAAAACCTAAGTGTCAGAACTGTATTTGTTGCTGTTTCTAATGTTCTGCATGCCTGCATTATATTGATTGTTACATGTATTATTTCACTCATTCCACTCCTTAAAGTATATTTCATTTGTATAACATGAATACATCCCTTTCCTACCTGAAAAAAATTTACTTTCAACTCAACATTTTTTTCCCAAGTCTATGCTTTTGTCTAGCATTCAAAAGGAAAAAGCAAGCACATTTTTAGAAATGTATTTTCTAAACAACGTGTTTTTCCTTGGGTCTAGACCTCCTAAATAGGTCTTGCTGGAAAGTGGATGTCAGCAAGCCCTACTTCTCTTGTTTGAAGGTGGAAACTTAATGGGCTATGGGTTTTTTTGTTGCAATTCAGAGTGGGAAGGCACTGTCTGCTATGAACAGGAGAGAGAGAATAAAAGTGGGTGAGTGCTAAAAGAAAAAAAAAAGCATAAAAGAATTGACAGTATTCAAAGACAAGATGTTGAAAGCCTGCTTCTTACCATCCATGAAAGTAAAATATTTAAATTCAGAAAGCCTTATTTAAAGTAGGTAAGTTTTGGGTTTAAGTAGTTGACTGCTGTTGGATTGCATTAGGACCTTACCTCCTGCTTACAAAAGAAATCCTTATTACATGGTAATGGCCATCGACCACACTGGGTGACTCCTCTATCCCTTATACTTGCAAACTTCTCACTGCAATTAAATGATCTCTGAATAAATCCCTCTTTATGGAGTACAACTTAATCTGGTTCTGTTTGAGCCAATCACAACAGAAAATTTTAAGTCATCATGTCCTTTCCCTGATGCTGTTGAAGTGCTGGCATTTACTGTGCTCCAAAGCTTTATAAAGGCATTCTCGTTAGTCTGATTAGAATTAGTGCGCATGTGTGCAAATGCAGAGTGGGCGTTCACAGGGAACACAAGCTACATGCTCCTTTCAAGTATCACATGGATTGTTGTTAATCTTTCACCTAAATGATTTGAGTACTCAACTGAAAAGTGGGAAATGGTTTCAAATCCTCCTGCTATGTAATGGGACAGGGCTGATAACTGACCAAAAAGTTTCCTAATCAACCTTTAGGTTTAGGTGTACTGCAGTCAGCTTTTCTCTTGATGTTTCTTTTGTTTTTACTTTTCAGTTCAAGAGGGGCTGTAAGTCTGCACTTCAATTATAAGAAATTACTCTTGGTGGGGAAGGGCTCACACAGGCTCTTGACTGCTCCTGTGACTGAATAACATAGAAGCTTTAAAAGTTCATCAGGAGACCTTTCTGTTAATTGAGGACTTTGACTACCTCAGAGCAACTGGGTGTTGGAAAGATCTCCACCTGTTTTTAAATGAAGCTTGAAATGTCTTGCTGAGTGACCTAAAATTCCAGACCTAAGTGGAGAACTCTCCTACCTCATGTGGGAACTGTAAGCAGAGCTCAGTGTAGGTTCTTCACTGCTCACAGAATCCTTTACCTTATTCTTTGGAACAGCTGCAGGGAGCTTCTAGGGAAAGTGTATGTATGCAGTCAGTATTACATAAGGCAATTCTTAAGAGCAGCAGGCACACACTTTGTACTATTGCTCTGCATTTCATCCCATCTTGCTGCAGGCCAAAGCACAGCCCACCTAACAGCACAAGTTCTGTTGTGTCTTGCAGGACCACTATATCATTTCCAGCATTAGAGTCCTGCTCAGGCTGAAGTACAGCAACCTCCCTTCCTGCATGGATTCCCAAAGCAGCAAGGAGAGCACAGAGAGTGAAGAGGCCCCTTACCCTTTCTTAGGGGCTTCTCCAAGCTTGACGTCTCCCTCCTAATGCAAAGCTAATATAAGATATATGGTACAAGTGCCTTCCATCAAGGGGCTTTCCTTGAGCAGGCCTAATCACATTGATAGGATGAGCTTGATGCTTCCATATAACCAGTCTCTGTTAAGCTTTCCAGCTGGTGCAGCTTAGTGCTCGCTGCTGACCATATCCAGGTGCTTACAGAACAGACACCCCACTGTTACCTAAAATTCCTTCTGAACCCAACCCCCTTCTACCTTCTAGAGAACCTTCAGAGCCCTTCAAGAGCATCTGAGAGAAAATACATTGTGTTTCATATTTCACCCTATGCTCATATTTCAATATTTTTTATATATTAAGTATTATATATATATATTTTCTGCTTTTGAGTGACAGGTATAGTTAATTTACACCATGTTTTACCATTAGATTCTTCACATTATTTTCACAATCTGTTTCCTATCTAAGTTAGGTACCTCGAAGTGCCTCAAGCTCATTTCCCTGTGAGTAGGGTCACATGAAACACCATACTCAACCCATAGAACATTTTTACCTTCCTCTTTCTGCTGTGCCGTTAAACAAATCCACATCACAATGGTTTCTTTAAGCTTAAACTGTGTCTAATCATAGTCTTCCAGAAGTACCTGAGTGACTGTACTTTCCAGGGAGGTTAAGTGACTCCAAGAGACACACCAAGCAGCCAGTGTCTCTGCAACTCCACCTGCTACCAGCTGAGCAGCCATAGCAGGTTTTGCCCTAGAAGATGTGCCGGGAACCTTATTCTGTTTTCCAAACACACATTTTCAGCTCTGATAGAGGAAACTCATACCTCAGGGGTCAGTAAAAATATATCAGTGATTACCTATTGAGGACATTTCTATTTATCTAAGCGTTCCCTTATGAACGTGGTTTTTATTCTATCGAAGCAATGCGAGCGGCGTTTGCCTGGAAGGCAGCCCATCTTGAAACATGTCTTCCTCCCGAGAGGTTCCCATGCACATAGCCTGATTTAGTTGAGCAACCCTTTCATGTTCCGAGTAATTCTTAGAAATAATTCCTGCTTCAAAAGGCTCGAAAGATGAGCTTAATTTATGCCTGCTCCTTATAGGGAGCTTCGATGCTGATTTCGGTGAGCCAAAGCGTCACGTAAGGGTTTTGCATCAGACGGTGCGGAAAGAGCAGCGAGGCGAGCTCGCTGTCCGCGGGCGCACCGCGCTCCCGGCGGATCGGCTCCGCTCCCCGCGCCCGCCGCCAGCCCCCGGCCAGCCCGCTCGGCGTAGCGGCCACTCACCTCCACGAAGTAGAAGCAGGGCAGAAGGGTGACGCTGTCCTTGGTCACTTTGCCCTTTTGCCGCTCCTTCGCGGACATGCTGGCGGGGCTGCGGCCGGCGGCCCCGCGGCCAAGCACTGCCCCGGCCGCTCGCAGCCGCCCGCCCGCCGCGGGTCTCCTCCGCCCGCCGCCGCCGCCGCGCCGAGCGCTGCGCCGTGCGCGGGGCTGACGTCAGGAGCCGCTCGGCGGCGGGCGGGGGTCCCGGCCAGCTTAACTCCTTCGTGCCGGGCCGGCCGGCACCGCGCCCGGGGGAGCCCCGCGCCGAGCGCGCACACACCGGCTGCTCGGCCTGCGGCAGATTTGTGCGCGCACGTACGGGTTTGAGAGCTCTGAGCGGGATCCCTGCGGGCGTCGGGGTGGTCGGGATGCACCTTGAGGAGTGTGCTGCGTTTATCTTGTTTCTGGGAAATATGTTTTCTGAAACAGAGTGGTAGAAGGCTCCAGGGAATAGCATTCCTATACAACCAATGTTCTCTTCTCGCAGGTGTTCTCTTTTGGAAATCAGGATGCTAATGACAGCTCACCTCAGTCTTTGTGCCAGTCAGGGGGAGTAGTGTGACTGGGGACTGAGCCAAACTGAGCTCTTCAACCCCATGTGCAATACTGAGGCATGTGATTTCTCTGATCCGTGAAGTATCTGGTGCAGTTTCTGCTACAGTCTTGAAGAGAACAGAATTAACCTGAGCAATTGTTTCCATGGTGAAATGTGCCAAGATCCTATTTATGGATCAAAGTTTCCAGCCTTTTCTCAGGCAAGCTCCTGTTGATGTCAATGAGAGGTACCCTGGATACAGCCTGTGGAAATTCTTTGTGAAAGAGCATTTTCATTCTATGTAGCACATTAATAAGGTCTGTAAAAGTTGTCTTATGCCTAAAAGCTGATTCTTGCATTGTGGTGTTCAGCTTTAATGTACAAGGAGAACAGTGTGACTCAAGCAGTCATTGTTTATTTCCTGTCTTTCTCCTTTTGGGTGAAAATAGAAATTACCTGCTGTTCTTGTTCAGATGGTTGCTAGTATTTTAGCTGCTATGGCAAGATTCTCATCAGCCCCTTTTCTTTTCTATCTGTTCTCTTTTCATTTATCCAGAGTGGATATGCCAATCCATGCTCTGCACTGAGTAGACAAGCTACATGAGAGGGAAAAATCAAAAATGTGCTTCATGCCTGCAGGCAGGTGTGGAAGGCAAATCTGTAGTCTGACTCCAAATCATTGAAAAAGACTTTTCAGAGCTGCAACACACGTTGCCATACCAACACATATTCTTGTCTTAAGCCTGTTAGGAAAAATTTACAGAGTTTCTGCTGGCTCAGGAGTCAGGGCAATTGCTGGTAGCCATGTAAAAGGCAGGTCAGGGGCCTGCAGGTAGTGGAGGTAGTCAGGGGGGTTACTGGGAACAGAGGAGCTGTTTGTGCCTGTCTATCAGCACTAAATTCCAGGAAATTAAGTGGTGTAGGGATGTCCAGTAGTGGTTCATACTCATCAGTGCAAGACTAACTTTTAAATAAAATAAGACTCTTTTTGTTAATTTTGCTGGTGGGTCATCCCAAGTAAAATACCAAGAGCTGAGGAGCTGTTATAAGATTTTGTTCTTGCCAAATATATTATTTGGAACAGTGGGTAGTGAGTGATACCATTTCAATTGCATTTACTGTATCAGCCTTGATTGTTGTGAAATCATGAATCTGGCTTGAAAAGGATCAGCACACTCTAATAAAAATTATTCAAGAGTACTTGTTCTGTCTGTTTCACACACAATTGCTTCATTCTGGGCAAATAAGGGGGATCAGGTGCTTCTCTGGTAAAATGAACCAAAAAAACTCATATTATGATGTAACTTTAGAAACTGGAAAAATTCCTCCTATAAATTATATTTTATCATTGGACTGCCTAAAGGCCTGTTAAGAGTGCATTTATGATAGGTACAGTGAAACAAAAGGTAATAGCTAGCCTGTAGTCTACAAACTCCCTATAAAGTTGTGTCCGGTGGGAAGGATACCATGCAAGCTGTGTGACTGCTGGAAGGGCAGAAAGAGTTGTGCTAATTCTCTGTGTTTTTTTCTGATAGAGCTAGGAGAGGGGTTATATGTGAGTTAGCTGAAGTGGTTGCTTTTTGTCAGTGATAGACCTTGCCACAGAATCACAGAACATGTTGAGTTGGGAGGGACCCACAAGGATTATCAAGACCAAGTCCTGGCCCTGCAAAGGACCATCTCCAGAAGTCACACCATGTGCCCGAGAGGATTGTTCAAATGCTTCTTGAACTCTGTCAGGCTTGGGGCTCTGACAGCTTCCCTGAGCCAGTCAAAAGCTGAGAAGGAAGATGAGCCTTCCTCCTGGTATGCACAGTGACCCAGTTCCAGCCTTCATCTTTAACAGACCCTTGACTAACAGTCCTTTGACTAATTACCTGTAGGGTTCTCAGTCCACCTGCTTCTCCACTACACTGAAGGTTCAAGACCCCCAAAAATCTTGAGACTGTAGTGTCTCTGAAAAGAATCAATCTATCTCCCACTCAAATACTGAGTAGCCTGTCCACTTCCTATAGTTCCTTCACCTGGTGGCACAGCTCCTCACTCACAGCACACCTTCTACAAAAGAACTGTTCGTCATCCCCAGCCTCACAAAGAGGCATCAGGTGCTCTTGGAAACCTGTGACCTGGACAGCTGCCACATCTACTGTCAGTGTGCTCTGGCATGGCTGGCTCAGTGACTGGCAGCTACATGATTCTAGTCAGAGAGAAGGCTCACCCATGCCTGCGTACCCAGTGGGGCAGGTCTGCCTCGCACTGCTCTAAAGGTGACATTGATAGGTAAGTATGGACATGTCTAGGGTGCATTTCTCACCTTCTCTCTGGGCTTTCATGTAAGATCTCACTTGAGACTCAGCTACAACAACCGCTTTCTCAAGAATAAGTAACCAAAGTACAGATTAGGCACCGCTTCACCATTTCAGCCTTGGTGTGCTGCCAGCAATGGATTCCTTGCTGCCAATAGGATTGGCAATAAATCTGATAATAAATTGATACTAAATTAAACTCATGTTCCCAGGTCTAGTCTGTTTTGCCAAGACAGTAACTAGTGAGTGATATCTCTCTGTTCTTGTCTTGACCCATGAGCCTTTTGTTATATTTTCTGTCCCCTCTCAAGCTGAGGAGGGCAGTGATAGAGAGGCTTTGGTAGACACCTGGGGTTTGTCTAGGGGCAGTCCACCACAATGAGTCTCATCCACACGATCTCCTAAAGGAAAATGTGTCAGTGGTAATTAATTCAGAAACACCTCCTGTCCATTTCAATTGTGATAGTCTTACAAGAAAGTGTGGTGATGTGTGACTTACGAATGCATCTATGTGTTGGATAGTCATATGAACAGGATCTGCATTATTCCTGACAGCTTTTCTACCCACCTTCCAGCAAACTCAGAGAAGTGTCATGGAACATTTAGCATAAAGCATAAAATTGTTTATGTTTTTGCTTTGCTTCAGCAAAACAAATCAAGTTCATAAAAGCATTTAAAGGACCTGGAGAGCTAAAAGATGGAATTCATAGATGTGGATTATAGGCCTCTTCTGACTCACCTAGAGTGAGTTTTTAGGAGTGATTTATTCTTCCGTCAACAAAAAGAAAACTTAAGAATCAGTGGGTGCTCCTGGAGAGTGCAAGATGATTTTTTAGAGTTCAGTTGGACCCAAGTCCTTGGCCCCCTAAAGAAGCATTGTTGGTAAAACTTCTTTAGGTGAATAAAGCACCTTTCTTTGTGCTTGTCAGGCAGACAAAAGATGCCACAGTTGTTAGAAACATGATTTGAAATTATTTTCCAATACAATCTGGCAAAGTTGCACTGCATTAAATGTGACTGCAGGTCATTGTCTCTTTGTCCAGGTTCTGTCTTCCCTCTGCAGCAAAGTCTGCCTTTGCTCCCAGGCTTTGGTAAGTGCTGGACACAGGCAATGGCTGTGGTTTCACTGCTTCCATGGCAACAGAAAGGATACTGCAGAAGCAGGGACCAATGTTACATCACTGAATAAACCCACTTGAAAAAGCAGTATGAAATATTATGACAAAGATTTAGAGGAGCTGGTGAGTCTATGGCTATGCAGATTACCTGGTCAGAGAGTGGTTCTGGGGGTTTCTAGCAAGCAGAAGTTTGGCCAGAGGCTGCAGCAGCAGCTGCAGTTGCAGTTACCATTGCTTAGTAGCCTAAGGAAACCTGCTTTCTTCTGGTCACCACATAATTTCCCCTGCAAAAGGCCACTTCTGAGGCTGTGTGCATGGATCAGGGTTAAATCATATTATATAGATGATTTTTTTTGTTTGTTTGGTTTTCCCACTGAATGCAGAATAGATGATGTGAACTCAGCATATTAAAACAGTAATCCTCTCATGAGAAAGGGTGGCATATGGGAGCTGGGCTTTGCTGTGTGGAACTGACAGATGTTTTTTGTTCTGCTTTGCTTGCCATATCAGAATTCAAAAATGCAGCAATGTGTGTTTGTATATATATATTTTTCTTTCCCCTACCCCGCCCCACTCCCCCAGTCCCTCAAGAAAATCTGTTTGGGGGAATTTCTTGTGTGTATTGAATTCACATGTTATTCCATAGGTAAATCTGGGCTGAGCAAGTGAGGGGATGTTGCTTGTTTTAGTCATTCATTTCAAAGATTGTTTTGGTCATAAGATAGATACATTTTTATGGATATTTTATGAACAGGCTTTCTAATCATTTATGCAACTACCTCAGTCTAGTCTGTTGTTTGGAGGAAAAAAACTGCTGGCTCCCAGGACAAAGCTCATGTCAGACAACATGGCAGCATCTTTTCCAGGAGGTAAACAAGGTACCTTACATATGAACGTGATAAATGCTATGAAAGGGAAAAATTACAGCTGAATGGTATCAAGGGCATCCCCTTAATTATCAGCACTTGAGTTATCTTTCTTCAAGTGCAGGACTTTTTCCTTGCTTTTTCATGTTAGGGAAATATCTTCCTCTTTGACCCATCTGTAGATCCCGTGTTGACAGCACACAGCACTCTTGGATAG